CGGCACTGTGTGGGACGCGCACGCCGTCGTCGACGAGAAGGAGTGCCGCCACCCGCGTCCGCACCGCCGGCGCGCTCCGCACGCTCGCCACCGCCCTGCAGGCTGCCGCGGCGGGCGGACGTTTCTCGGAAGCGTCCGCCGCATCGCGAGACGGAGCCAGGACGACCTGGAGGCTGGCGCCGACTCTGCCTCCTCCCGCGAGGGAGAGGTGGAGCTGGACCGCGGCCGGCGTCGAGCCGCCCACCTCCGCCCGCGTGCGCAGCGACAGCCGCGCTCCGAGCGGGCAGGCCTCCAGCCGCGCAAAGACGAGACGCGACGACGTCGCGCGGCCGACGCGCGACCAGGCGGAGGCGCGGCGGCCGTGGAGCGCCTGCACGCGCACGGCAACCGGCTCCGCCGCGACGCCCGCAAGCGCCACCCTCAGCTCCGTATCCTCGCCCGCAGGCACCCTCTGCCGCCGCCACCGCCACCAGTCGTTTGCGCAGTACTCGACGACCCAGGCGGCGAGCGGCTGGCGCGTCGGCGAGAGCGACGGACTCCACCGCACGAGTAGCTCGGCGCCCGCCTCCCGCCGGACCACGTCGCACCGGTCGAGGCGGGGGGCGGGCATTGTTGGACGGGATGACGCAGCGCCGGCCCTGGCTGGACTGATGGGTTCGAGCTCCAAGCGATGAAGGACAAATTTCCATGGTGTCCAGTCCGAGCCTGGCTCGCGCTGGCATCCGGGATTGCATGGTGTGAGTGTGTGTGAGTGTATGGGGGATGCGCAGTGTGTGGGTGCTCACACCCATGTCTCACAGTGTGACGGCAGTCGCCGAGCAGTGTCGCTCACACAAGCCGCAGCACAAGTGACTGATGGCCAGTGAGGGCGAGCCCATCGCTGTCACAGCTGTGGCAGCCGCACAGTGGGCTGTGCCATCTGTGCAGAGTGTGTGAGCAGCAGAGGAGGAGCAGGCGCACATCGCTTCCAGGGAGGGGGGCGCCCTTCTCTCCATGCGCGGCCGCCGTGCGCAAAGTGCAGGTGCGGGTCGCCGTCGGAGCCGCCGATCGGCTTGTGCGAGACTGGCGGCGAAGGCGGCCATGCCGACGTCGGCGACCTTGTGACGCATTTCTCGTAGTGCAACGCGAGGTCGATGTTGTCTTTTGTCGCTTCCGACAGGTCTGTCCCTGATTCCGTGTTCTTGACGGCCCCCTCGTAGGCCATGAACATACCTGTGCATCTCTGGGCACCACTGGGATGTTCATGGCACGAGCAATCGTGCGAATCGGCCTCCCAAGAGAACGCGCGGATGTCGTTGGACACCCGCTCGACTCCGCAGGTGGCTTTGCACACAGTCATGTTAGGGGTGGACATGCTTGTAGCTGTCCTGCTGCTGGATGTCGTCCGACTGCATCCGGTCATGAAATACAGCGGATCGTTGCCGGAGTAGCAAGCCGAAATGGTTCCCAACCAGGACATGGAACCAGACCTGGGAGTGTTGGTGTCAACTGCCGGATCGGGACAGACCGCTGGGAGTGAACCAGAAAAGGGATCCCAGTTTTCGGGTGTGAACCAGACCTGCGTCTGTCTTTGAGCACTGTCTTTGACTTCGACCATGGACGTGCCGTAGAGTTTGCAGTTGTTAGCATCAGAGGCTGCCTCATTATTAAAGTACAGATAGGAGCAGCTCCCAGTGGAAGTCAAGCAAAAGGCGATGCATGCCTCCAGCGATTCGGCGCGGAACTCGGTGGAAGCCTTAGGGATGACAATGCCTTTATAGGCCGTCGTCGAGCACCTTTCGACGGATCCTTGAAAGCGGTCCGGCGTCAAGCCAAGAGGGGTGTGCGTCAAGTCAAGATGGGTTTCAGCGGCGGGGGCAAAGACAGCGTTTACAGCGAGCATTCGGGGGGCCGACGGCCGCGCAAGGTGCGCCGATACACGGCGATCCTATACGATCCCACCCCCAGGAATTTTCAATCAAAGTGATGAATGACGGTCGGAACAGGTCAGTACTCAGCTTTGGTCTGATCACAGTCGGATCAAGGTCGGAACAGGTCAGAGTGGCCGTCTAAGGGCCCTAAATGGCCTGCAATGCCATATCTTGTGTGCCTATGTTGTAGAGCACTGAAAAAACTAGTATGTCTTGGAGTGAAAAGTTTCTCGATGAGGTGGGGATCCGTGGTGAGCAGATTCCCAGATCTCCAGATTCCCTCGGACACGCACACACGCACACACGACACACACACGACACACGCACGCACACACACACACACACACACACACACACACACACACACACACACACACACACACACACACACACACACACACACACACACACACACACACACACACACACACACACACATCGCTGAGGCTCACCCTACGCGCTCTGGGCCTTGCAGTTGCACTTGCACTATTACGTATGCTGTGGCGTGTTGGGGCCCGACGGCGTACGGAAACTAAAAAAGCGTATTGTATATGACGCCGTCCTTTTAAATATTACGCCGTCATTTTTTACTGCCATGGCGGGGAGGAAAGCGGCACAGTCTAGACACCTGAGACAGAGAACAATATTAGTCTGGACAGGCCTGCTCTTGAAGAGGGGGGCTCGAAGGGGGGCTATAGGGGGCCAATCGAGCTTTGCAGCGCGCGGGCTGCCTCACACACTCTACTGTAGCGTATAGGCCCCCTGGACGCCCACACTTCGAGTTATACTCA